AGTCCAATGTGCTACTCGGGTACCTGACGTCGAAGGGCATACACCCAATTGCTTGGACCTTCTGCTGACAACCAATCCAGACTGATACTCAGTGTCGGTATCGGCTCCCTTGGGTAAGTCTGATGACAGATATGATAGATGGAGATGACAGATAGCGGCAGGTTCTTAGCGTACCTAGAATACAATGATCTCCTTAGTGACCGTCAATGCGGATTTCGTCAAAATCGGTCCACGGGAGATCTTCTAGTGTACGCCACACATATCTCTAGTGAGGCCATCGAGAAATACGGGGAGGCACTAGCTGTTTCCCTGGACATCTCTAAGGCATTCAACAGTGTTTGGCATGACGGCCTTATTAACAAGCTTCCATCATTTGGACTGCCACCTAGCTTATGTGACTGGATATCGGACTTCTTGAGGGACAGATCCCTACGAGTGGTCGTTGACGGCTACCAAGTGGCCATTAATGCTGGTGTTCCTCAGGGATCCGTGCTCTCTGCGACCTTATTTTTGCTGCATATAAACGATCTATTGAAACCCGGTATCTTTGGGTATGCAGACGACAGCACCGTTATGGAGAGGTATATGTCCAGTCCGAGAGTGAGCCCGGCTGAAATTCAGTCTTGCAGAGAAGAAATGGTTGAGCGTCTGAACCTTTCCCTCCAGGCAGTGTCCGATTGGGGTGATGTCAATCTGGTAAGATTCAATGCCACCAAGACACAGGCGTGTCTTTTCTCCTCCAAAAGGAGGCCGTTTGAGCTGGCCCCCTCATTCCGGGATGTAACCGTACCCGTCACGGACCACCTTGACCTTCTTGGTGTGACTTTATCTTCAACGCTCAATTTTGGCTCATACATTGAGTCTAAAGCTCAGCTAGCTGCGAAGAAGCTCGGTATCCTCTCGAAGGTGCGAAGGTACTTCACGCCGGAACAGCTTGCTTATACTATATAAAGCGCAAGTGTGCTCCAGCATGGAGTACTGCTCGCACCTTTGGGATGGTTCTGCCAAATACTTGAAGCTTGAAGCGTTGGAAACCATCGAGAGGCGCGCCAAGAGGCTCATTGGAAGCGACGCTCTTTGGAAAAAGAGAGTACAAAGTCTTGAGCATCGCCGCAAAGTCGCTGGTCTATCGGTCTTCTATCGGTTACATTTCGGCGAGTGTGCATCGGAATTACATGACTTAATTCCATCGTCCCCTTTCCACTATCGTACAACCAGGGGTACTGGGAAGCGTCACCGCTTTACTGTGGAGATTCCACAAACTCGCACCAAGCGATTCGCCTCTACATTCATCGTGCGAACTGCGATGCTGTGGAATTCGCTACCGGACTCGCTGTTTCCGGACAAATACAATCTGGGATTCTTCAAGTCAAGAGTGAATCGGTTCCTTCTAGGCAAGCACGCTCCATCTTAGACCACTGCATTGCTTACCATCAGGTGATCTGTGGTCAAGTGCTTGCCTATCAAGAATAAAAAATAAAAAAAGACGTAACATTGGTTAACTCTTTGAAATAATTCAAAATGTACAACTCCAGTTCTTAAAAACATCAAAGATTTTCTCCACCCTAAGTTTTTTGGAGTTATCCTAAGTTATTATTTAAATGATAGGCGCCCAACTTCAAAAGAATTTTCTTGAATAAGTCGCTTTTGAGGTTAGTAATAGTTATAATTTTTTAAGTTTGATGTTGGTTCTACTTTTTATAAAAAGTTTTTATTACAGTTTTTCGATGATATTGATATTTTTTATATAATAGGTAACACTAAAAATATTAAATGTCTATGTACTCGTAAATAAACATATTTAACATAGTGAAAGTCGATTTCTACTATAATATAGTAGAAGACGACTTTTTTTTTTTTATTTGTTTTGTTTATTTGATCGACATAATTTTTTCCAATAATTTATATTCATATGTAAAAGAGGAAAGATTTGATTGCTTGTTTGGACTGGATTGGATAGGCTCCAAAATTGTTGAACCGATTTATAAAATCTTTTCAGTTACGCGAACTACCATAGTACGCGGTGGACGCAGGCGAAGTCGCGGGGAAGTAGCTAATTTAATAGAAATTGGTTAACAATTCAAGATACCAACTGTATATGACTTTCAAAAAAAAATATACATCAAAGAGTAAAGTATACATAGACTCATTGAACATAGAAAATCTTTCTTTCAGATTTTGAACGAATTCTCAATAAGCAATCTTTTGGTTTTTACCTGAAGTGGACTATATCATGACATATCATCTTAATATTTAGGTGACATCTATTGGAAAGTGTATATTGTTTTGTTATAAAAGGAAAACTACTTATTTTGATTTCGATATAATTCCCATTTAACTTTATAAAAAGGGTAGATAGGTCTTGAATAAAAAGGGAAAATTTAAATAAAAAGGGTAGATAGGTCTTGTCAGTACTAATACGATGTCAAAAATTGTCCCTAGCATACACACACGCATATGCTACGATACTCTCCAATTATTCGTAGTCTATAATTGAAATTGTCACAGACCAGACGTATGATGATTAAAGGCATTGTTGCCGACAGCCTTACCATGTTTTTGAAATATTATTACTGGACTCTTTAAGGAGGCTTTTATACTTGTTTTTAATTTATATTTTTTTTATTTTTTGACTTTGTCAATGTATCTTGCCTTTGTACGTTGATCAATAAATGTCTCTCTGTGTTAAAAGTTCTATTATTTAATTTTATACAGTCCTCTGTTCTTGCTGTCGATTACAGGCATGTTTAATGCCTACTTTTACATATACGAGTTAAAGACTTCGATCAACAGTTCAACGTAAAAATGTTGATGTCTAACATTATTTAATTATCGTATTTCTTAGTGTATATATTATACACTAACGACAATGTATAAATAATGAAGCTTTTCAAGCGATAAAATAAATCTAACACTGATATATAATATGAACGAGGGACGACTGAAAATGTTCTAAACCAGCTTAAAATCTAAATGAATTTTATTTTTCAATATAGTCTCCCTCCCCTTCAACACTTTTAAAAAGAGCTTGTATCCCACTAAAAAAATAAGATGCATCTTTGCTGTAAAAATGCTCGTTTACGGCGGCTTTCATTTCTTCATCATCTCCAAATTTTCTACACCGAAGGTCTTTTTCAAATTTTTAAAAAGCAAATAGGCGCTGGTAGCTATGGCTGGACTATAGGGTGGGTGGTTAATTTAATCAAAGCCAGTTTCTCTAAAGGCATCCTTCGCAATACGTGCCGTATGGACTGGTGTATTGTCTTGCATTAACAAAACTCCTTTGCTGATTCTCCCTCTTCTTTTTTCCCCAATGAGATCGCGTACTTTTTTCAAAAGTGCTACAATTAAGTACGCGTAGCGTTCATTGTAGTTTTTTTTTGGCAGGTAACCGATGAGTAAAATCCTTTCCAAAAAAATTTGACAATGAGTTTCGAAGTCGACTTTTCAACCTCAAACTTCTTTGGCGGCTTTTCTCCCTTTTCTATTCACTGCATTGTTTTTTTTTAAATTCTGGATCATATTGACGATTCCACGTTTCATCGACGGTGACAATACGGGAGCAAATTCGTCCAAGTTGTTCTTGCACAAGTCTATAAACTCCAGAGAAGTTTCAACTCGACGCTGTTTATCGAGCGGCGTGAGCATTTTTGGAACCCAACGTGCACTAATTTTATTCATGTGCAAATGATTGTGCAAAATATCTCCAATTCATACTTTACTGATGCTCACCTCTTCTGCTATCTGCCACATTTATATTCAACGGTCCTCCAATACAATTTTCTTCACTTTTGCGATGTTTTCATCTATGACGGCAGTGTTTGGTGCTCCGGGCGGGGGTCATCTTCCAATGACATCTTTAGTCGACTTACTTATGTAGTTTCTACAGTTTTGTATAATACATGTCGGCATTTTAAAAATGAACATGGTTCATAAACGTGCACAATCAACGTTTTCGCCAGACTGCTCTTAGGTATGCTAATTAGCATAGTTTTAAGGTGACACTTTTTGAATGCAAGTAACCTATCTACCCTTTTTTATTGTAATATTATTGGGAACACTTCAATCCATCACGCTGACAAATAAAAAGGAACTATGATATCGGTCAAAAATTAACGAAAATAGCGGTCATCATACAAAAAAAAACCGTACATTGCCATAATCTCCACCTTTTCTAATTTGGAGTTGGTTAAAATTTGTTTATGAAATGTATTTGGTTATTTTTTTTACAAGATCGTGCCATAAGGCTAAATTCAAGTACTTTCATTTCTGCGATATCACACCAAAGTATCTTTAGTCGATACTTCATAACCCTGAGGGCAGTCGAGTAGGTAACAGTTAGATTTTTGTCAAGATTGTACAAAATCAAGTACTTACAATTTTGTATTGCGTTTTAAGTTCAGATGAATCCATGGGAGAAGAGAATATTTATGACATTTATAAATATTCAATAGTAAAGGTTCGAATATATCAGGGACGAGTTATTTTCTGATAGGCAAAATATTTGTGATATGTGAGTTACTTTTGGTATTTCACCGTTCATTTCATTGTAACGGCGAAACCTAATTTGATATAACATTGAATGTACTTAGTTCAGAATAACGATGAAACTAAGGAAAATACTGTTTTGCCGACATCGGTGGCAATTCTGTTGACACAATCTACTTATTTAGTCCTGTAATTTCTGTAAATTAAATGTAATTTATGTTAATATATAATTTAGATTTAGTCCTGTCAAACTGAGTTTTTAATTTATTAAACAATTAAGATAATAGTAAATAATCTTATTCCGTCTTATTATAAAATGCGGACTAAAGTTGTATTTGGTATAAACCGCCTGAAGCATATTGACAATGATGGAGCAAAAAATATCAAATTGAGACGAGTTGACATATTTTGGTCGGATAATTATTTAAAACTTGTACAACAGTCAAACGATTTAATATACATATGATTCTTCTAACGGCACACCTCTAAGAAGTCTTGTCTTTTATGTGCGTATGCGTTCTTGCGTGTGCGTGTGCGTGTGCGTGTGCGTGTGCGTGTGCGTGTGCGTGTGCGTGTGCGTGTGCGTGTGCGTGTGCGTGTGCGTGTGCGTGTGCGTGTGCGTGTGCGTGTGCGTGTGCGTGTGCGTGTGCGTGTGCGTGTGCGTGTGCGTGTGCGTGTGCGTGTGCGTGTGTGAGTGTGTGCGCGCGTGCGTGCTTGATCTAATACTTGAATTATTCCACGACTTCTAAATACTTCCACTTTCGCATGGTATGTATAAAGTGGAAGTATTCAGTTTAGTTTCTATATCAGTTTTCTCATTTTATACTGCTTTCCATATGTCCTAGCTAACGGATTCCAATATCAATCTTATTTAGTTAGTAGTCGGTACAACTCCAACACGATTATTTTTTTTAATTCGTATACCTATACTTTAATTCGTATTGCTTTCTTTGCCTGTCAAATGTTTGTTCACGTTGATTAAAGAGAACGACCTACTTAAAGCTCTATTTGTGATCCTTAGTCGTGCTTCTAGAGTTCCTTTAGAAAATAACTACTTGCCGCTAGCGGCTTCGTCCGCATTATTTCCCGTTTTTGCAACATTTTTCGTTGCTGCTCCACACTTTTTTGTAACATGGTGATGTTATATAGCCTATAATCTGTCTCAGTAAAGGGTCTATTCAACAAAATAATAAGTTTCAATTTGAATCAGTAATTCTTGAGAAACAAAGAACTCTTCAGCATTATACTATAATATTAAGTATAGATTACTTGTTTATTTAACATTACTACTAACTTTTCAACAAATTCACTTTTTTTACATAAAATCAACCATTCACTAAATAAATGTCAACATTAAAACTTCAACTGTTAACTGTAAAGCGCACTGCTGATTTTATATACCCTCATTATCGTTTATTTCACTATTGTTCCTCCGTTTTATGGAAGTCGCTTGTCTAATTGCGCCCACCGAGAGAATAAAAAAATTGGAGACATAAGCCTTAGTTTTATTGCGTTCTAGGCAGATATTTATCAATGTTCCATTTTATATATGTCCCAAATCATCTAGTTCGTCAGAAATATATTGTTTAGCAATCATTTTGTAAGTCCAAACTACGGGCTCATTATCGATAATGAAAATTACTCATTAGTTTAATGAGTTTAAACGCAAATTTAAACAAGGATTCAGTCATCACCGGATATACATCTAAAAATGAACTAAGTTCTTTCATTATAGCTTTTTGCTTAAAATGTCGTATCGATATTGTAAGACAATATTGCTTCTGTCAGCATATCCCAATATTCCCACAGATGTTACAATATTACATCATAATACCTTCTAACAATAAAATACACGTAGCTGAATTTCAATTTAGTTAACATATTAAATGTGTATATTAAAATAAAATGTGTATATTAAACGTTAAAACTTGTATTTGACTCATAAATACTGAGGTTTTAAGCACCAACATAGGTATAATAAACTATTTATTTTTTCTTTTTCTGCTACTATATATACACGAAAGAACAAAAAAAGCACACATAAATTACTAAAGATTTAAAATACGCAAGCATACGCGTTTTATTGCCGTAAATTGGCAGTTTTTAAGTTATCGTAGTAAAACTGATAAAGTACAATTAATAAAAACTGTTATTTCTCTAACACATTTTAAATCTTGAAGCCTTAATAGTAAAGTCTAATGTCTCTTTGCATAAAATTTGAAAGAACAATGGCGAACTCCCATATAGCTTTGGACCTGATTTTTTAAAGTCCCGTTCATGAATGAAATAAACGTGTACTTAAAGGTATAAGCTAAACTAACAAAATCCTAATCGTCTTTTTCCTTTAAAAGTTGGGATTAAAAAGATATGGCATAAAATACTTTGTGGGGTTATATATTGCATCTTTGCTTTTCGGTTAAATGGACGTTAATGGACGTCAGGTTACTGCGTTTAATAAACTAGATTAAAATAATTACATATCAAACAAGATCCAAACAATTATAATAGAAGAAACATTTATAACATATGACTAAACTGTGTGGAGTAGATCCCTTTGCCTTTAATTAAATCATTACAACTGAAAGGGATATAAATAAGGGTAATGTACACATTGAACTGTCATTGTTATAACCGAATCGATTGCCATTCGAAATCCAAAAGTAATGCAAATATCAACGTTAGTCGAAGAAACATGCTTAATTGTCAAGTTGAATATTAACATAAACATCAAACTCCACGAACGAACACACAAGAAACAAACCAAACCAATCATCCGCTATCATTCCACCATCATCATCATAGAACATTCATAGAAGAAAACAAGCATGTCAAAATAAAATCAACCAATCGATTATTTAGAACAAAATTATTTCTCAAGTATTCAATACATAATTTAAACGAATAAAATAAATATTTATGAAAGTATTCAAAGACCGTATTTCATATGATATATTATATATAGATTTTATATTGAATATATATTTGACGTTCATTCGCTCAGTCGGTACACGTCATTACATCACATACCTCACTTATTATTAGCAGTTAATGGCGACAGATAATATTCTATAGAACATGTTTGAAAAACTCGCGATTAATTGAGAATCACTTCTGACATCGTTGATGTATGTGATCGATATTTCAAAAACCATCCAAACTACAACACTTTGATATGTTGTGTGGTTTTCAATTAAAGAGAGCGCAATCTATTCTATACAATCTTATTTTGAATTTATATTCGATTATTAAGCGTATTAATGGTACTTTAAAGGCAATAGAATTAATTGCAATGTACAGGAAAAGATAATATCCATTAGAATAGATGACCCTTTTATTGCCCGGCGCAAAATTTATGAAACACTTCCTAGATTTCTTTTATTAATCAAGTACTTCTGCGTAGACCAGAACGTTTCTTAAGAAGATTTTCGCGTTTTGTTTTTGCACTATCATCAGACGTTTTGTTATCTTGATAATTATTAGCAGCATTTAATATTTTAGTTTGGTTCCCCGACATTAAAATTCACCATTTTGTAGAAATAAAATCTATTAATCATATATTATTTATTTGTCATATTGCCATCCATGTAAGGTTTTGTAAATTATGGGGTCTGATTTCGCCATTCTTCTTTATACAGATTTCACGATTGAAAATTCGAAATAACAACATAATTGACAACGTTCTTGAAGTAAATGTTGACTTACGTACGTTCAATTCGAAAATTGAGCTCCCGCTTAAGCCTTTTCTAATATAAAAGTGAGAATGGGAGAGCCTTTTCAAACTTTTTTATCTATTCCGTTGTATCGAAAAACATATTTTTTCATTTATTATATAGGAAATGCGATTGAGATAAACGATCTTTCTTTATCATAAAGCAATCTACAAGATGAGTTCTCATTTAACGTAACCGTCCGAGTCGCTCTTCAATATTTGAAATGTAGCTCGTTTAAGGGAATTACATCGCTCAAATTAGAGAGGTTGAAGAACTTTTAAGCAAGACTTATATTGTACAAAATCATAATTACTTAAACTGTGTTGTGTTCAAAGAAAAACTTAAAGTGTTGCGAGCATCCCGGCAATGCTCGGGAAGCACCTATACTTCCCTACTTAATATACTCTATGCAACTAATTTTAAAATCTAGTTTGGTTAGCAAATATTAAAGATAATTGAAAAATGATAATAATTATAATATTGGTATAATAATATCATATATTTGAACTAAATGTTTAGTTTAGTTTCAAGTTTAATGTAAATTGTAAAACGAGACTTAAAAAATATTAATTATCACTTTAAAAAATATTACTTGGCTACTGTTTTGTTTGCAGGTGAAAAATTTAAAAGCTACTTTGGACTCACTTACGATCAGATGGCGGTCAAAAACATCACTTCATTCTACGATACTCTAGAAATAGACCACATTACTAAGAAAGGGAGTGTTAAGTATAACATTACTGAATCAAGGCGTATGAGTAGACACTTAAGGAATCAAGAAGGAACTATTGTTTTAATCCATGGTTTTCTCGAAAGTTCCGACGGTGTAATGGTGAAAGGAATCGCTCCAGCTCTGATCAACAAACCAGGGTTGACTGTGTTAGCTCTCGATGGGAGGAAGCTCATTAACCTTGAATATTTTAGGTCATCGACCTACGTTAGGTTTATGGGAGAACATCTTGGAGAATTCCTTAGTGAACTATTTACAAGTGAGTTTGAAATCCATATTTATATACGTACTTAAATTGATTATGAAATTATCAGATTATAGGATCTGATCAATTTACAAATAATCAGCGTTTGATAATGGACAATCGAGCAATATACGTTTTACTTATATCAAAAATCTTCGATCAAATTGAAAGATAGCTACACTATACACTTTTTGTGTAGTGTGAAGGATGGCATTGATTCTTTACTTTAGGTCACGTGATAGTTTAAACATATTTTGTATATTGTATATTTGATTATATTGTTTTCCATCCAATAAAATATAATCTGTTGTTATTTTGAAAGATTTGTTGATTACTTAACTTCCTCTTAGGTATATTATATCCTAAACAAGTTTTACCTGACATTGGCATTCATATATCGACTGTCATATCATACGGGGACGCAGTATGGTCAGTATAATTACTACTAAATATAATACTTAAATGTTTTACTTTCACCATTAGTTGATGGCAAAACAAACTACAATATTCACGAGTAAGTTCGTTGCTAATAGAATTCATAGAATCACTTAGGAATTAACAATCTTAGCTAAACATTGTTTGTTTGTTTTATTTTAAAATCCCTTAAAACTAACATTTTTATAGACTTAAATAATATATAGCACGGAATTTTCAACTATATGTAGTACATTAACTGTTTCATATTGCTCTTTGAACTTTCGCTGCAATATATGTGACATCAAAGTTGATGTACCTATAGTCCTCTTATATTATTCAGGATCACTGGCGTACTGCCAGTGTCTTAAATTCAAGAGATATGACGACAGCATAACTTAAATAGGGAAAACATTTAGAAACCAGCTTTGAGACTTCATTTTCTATGAATTTTAAAAGTGATGACATTGAAATGTAATACAATGAAGTAAAATGGTGAATTGCTTTTAATATTAATTTATTGTTTATTGCATTTTAAAAATAAAAATGGCGGACATAATGCCAATCATAATGTTATGTACATAAGAACTCTTTTGTAATTTTTTATTTTTCTTTCGATATTCTATTAACTGTGTAAAACGTCTTTTATTTTTTTTTAAATGGGCTTGGCATCTTGAATATTTTGCTTGTTTAAACTAAAATTATCTAAATAAAATAAAACATAATTGGACGTTTTATTAATATAACGTTAGGTTCGGTAAAGAAACAACCTGTGACCTAACAGTAGAGCGTAATAGGACGATTATAAAAAGGAATAAAAAATTAATATAAAAGAAATACATATAAAAGAAATAAAAAACAAATAAAAACTGTTTGCATTAAAACCTACGATACACTGTCAATATTAAATCTCTACTTCTTTACGATTTCAATAAACATTCACAAGTGTAAAAGTGAGTGTACCTCTCACTTTACAAGAAAAGTTCCCCGATTTGAGTTCTACTGCCGCACTAATTACGAAGCTCATTTTGGTTAAATTAAATTTGCAAAGGCAAATAAGGCAAACTGGGTCCTTTGAGTGAGCCCTTTAACTTGATTCAATTGCAGTGGTGAAAGCGAAATGACGTCATATAGGATAATTTTAAAGTCAGTGCACAGAACCTAAAATCTACTTTGTCTCTGGTACTCTGTAACAGGGACAAAGGATTTTTTAAAGTATGTTCATTAAGAATATTTTCCAGTATATAGCGTTGTGAAAGCAAAATTCATCAAATTTAATATTCACAGATTTTGCACGAATATTAACTTAAAAATCATTAATATTTTCTATTTATAATATAAAGTCATTGGAAAAAAATGTATAGTTACTAATAATAGATTTTTTTTATAGCGTATAAAACAATTATTTCAACAATTACGTCTGCATCGTATTCATGAGATTATGTTTAAGGAGGTGCTCTAATTTTGTCATTTTATTGTATGAGTTAATTAACAGTACATCTCATAAAAGCCACCCCATCTTGACGTATAATAATTTCTTGTGAAAATTAGAAAGTTGTATCAATCCGTCGTCAAGCCCCCTTCTATTACTGTCAGCGATGTTTTGAGTTAATTATTAGTAAATGCCGAGTTCTGCAAAATAATTAGAAATAATAAATAAATATATCTGTCATTATCACCATCGGACATCGAATATAGATATTGACATAAAAATGACAAAAAATGAAGAATCCTTCAGTATTTATATTACCCTTGTACGACTCCTCTAAAATCATTCAGATAAGAGTAACTAATTACTTATTTAATAGTGACAAATCTAATTACTACAAAATATCAACTCGCAAAAAAATTTTGAACTTTATTGTTTGAGGATTAAGGCGTGGAATTGACTCGAATCGGTAAATATACCAGTAGAAAAGTTGATAGATTTTTATACAGGTATATTTACTGTGGTATATCAATAATCAAACTTCATACAAATGAAACGTTTCAGTAGAGATTAAGAAAAAATAAGATACTTTTTCTTGTGAGCAATATTTATATTATTGTCCCTGATATTTTCATCGTAACAAATACGAAAACAAGATTGAGTCTGAAAATAGTTTCTATTACGCAATGAAGTGGTTTTACCATTGATGTGTTTTTATCGACTATTTATTCTTTGCCTTTAAAATGTTAATGTCCTCTCAAGGGAGCGGTTGGTTTTAAATCAAATAATTAAAATCATTTGTTTTGTTTCTATGTTTGAATCTTATTTTTTTGGTAGCTTTGATACTGACTGGTCATAAGTCTCCTTATCGTTTATATCTACAACTTTAACCTTGAATTATTCGACGAAACGTTTATAACGACGTGTTTTTTATTTTATGGTTCGTCGAAAATGTTGATTTATTAACAATTCTTCCCAAATCCCTGAGCGAGCGCTAATGTGAGTTGATCTGATTGAATTCATATCGGGGTATTTTAAGCATTGAAATTTATTACAATCGATGAGAAGATTCCTTTATACGGTTGACAGCTTACGGATTCATAATTTGTTTTTTTTTTTGCGATTTGAGCAATATTTAGAGCAGTAAATTCAACATTATTGAGATTATATCACGCTACCAAATACTCATAGTATTATACATAGACATCTTTGCATGCTACAAAAGAGGAGCTAGGTCGAGAATTAATATTTTTCAGACAATTGTTATTAAATGAGTCACAAGACAACAAGTCTCACAAGTCTCACATATGGCTATTCGGAACAATTTCCTGATAAGTTTTAGGTTGCCTATTTATACTGTTGAAAAAATATAGTTTCAAATTTTCCATTATAAATTGCGATGTATCAATTCTTACTTTACATCAGAATCGACCTCACGGTTTATAGTACCAATCGTATACTTCAGTGGAGCCATATTGAAAAACTTAGTTCTCTGACACGGAACGGTGAGAGAGAGCAGCGTCTCACATCAAATCCGTACAAATTTATCAAGAACATTGATACCTTATAGGTCTCACAGCGGGAGCTTGGCTTTGAGCGGTCCGTATCAGTTGTCAAGCCTTCTCCCCCAAGTGGGGCTATAAAAGGTATTGTTTAATACGGAATGTACTGAAGTAATATTAGATACGTATCAATTTCGTATCACACAATCGTTCTAATTTTTGTGATCTTGAAAGTTGAAAAACAACTAATAACAGAAGATTTCTGTATGTAAGACCAAAAAAGAGACAAAGATATATCTTATTATACCTGTGTTCTGTCGAATTATGCTGTATTTTCTCTTTCAGACGGTCAGGATTCATCGAAATTAACTCTCATCGGGCACAGTTTAGGAGCCCATATAGCCGGTGTAGCTGGTGAAAAGTTTCGTGAGCTGACCGGTAAATCTATCGGTCGTATAGTTGGGTTGGATCCTGCTGGACCTTGCTTCAGCAACATCAGCCCAGCTGGTAAACTGGATTCTGGGGATGCGGAATATGTCGATGTGATACACACTAGTGCCGGCATACTGGGACAACTAGATCCTGTAGGTAAACAACGCATAATGTGCTACTAGACAAGAAAATACGAATCAGTCGGCTACTACATATGATAATATTTGCCAAATAAAAATCATTTTATTAAAATTAAAAATATGATCGATTGTTTGCTAAAACAGAAACATAAATTTTAATAATTGGATCGATTTTACGACTAATATATCTCATCTTAATTATATAAAAATATATAATATTTAATATTTCATTGTAGAGTTTGTACCTACCGCGCTTCGTATAAAACTTCCCTACTAAGAGAGGTCTGCTTACGGCGGTCGTATGTAGTGTGACTTGCGGCCGTATGTACAAGTGCGCCTCAAGTTACATAGAATTGTGACCGAAATATCGTAAAAAGCGAGCGTACTGCAGAAGTGGTTCTCGAGCGCCTTATTTATACAAGTTATTAAATTTATTTTTGAAGATACCATACTAACATAAATAAAAGAATTATACTTAAGTTTATATACCTATGTAAATATAATAAGGACAAATATAAGATATTATGTCTTAATCGTCCTAAATAAGCAATCGAACGATTCAAAAATAAAATGAATAATATTAAAATTTTATTCCATATTCATTACTTTCATTCTATTGCACGCATATAAAAACTATTACATTAAAGTACCCAACTCTCTACAGATAGCGTGCTGTCTTGAGTGGAGTATTTCAAATTAATCTAAGTTCCAAATTCCTCTGGATAGACTGTGGGGACATTCATCTTCATTGGGACGTAGCCTCAAGAGAAAACTAAATTGCATTCTATGTTCAAAGTAACCTAATATACTACTACGAGATAGGTATAAAGTAATTCTGATTAAAGAGCGTAATTAAGTATCTATTATGCACAAACACTTCTAAGGCTTTGATTTTATGTAATAGTCATATTTATTAATATTTGATGAATTTGATGAAACGATACGTAATTTCATTCTTTAATGAATGTTAATAATTAATTATTTTAAGTGGCAATTAAATTAAATTCAACTTTATTGCTTTCATGTGGTTTACATAGGTAATTAAAACATATGTTTCCATACATTAACTATATTGCTATTATAAAGAATACAGCTTTGTCTTGTTTAATAAGTTTATTTCTTATTTTAATTTCATTCCAACACAATTTCAATAATTCACCATTAACGGTTTTTGGCGCGAATCTTATCTATGTCAATGTCAAAGTTACAGTGACAGTTCACTGACAGATAGTGATTCCCGTAATACAATCGATAAATAGCGATGTCCATGGTATTCGATATTTTTTGTCTATTAATATATTGCTGAAAATATGTAATTGTTACACAAAAGCATTGGTATTATACTGATTTCATGCTAAACAGTAATATTGTCCACTAACTGAGCTTAATTGAGCAGTGGTTAACGCTTCGGATGACCAAACATTTATTATCTTATTGCGGAAGAGCTCAAGATAATAAGATCTTTGGAAGGCACGTCAAGCCGTTGGGTCAAGCTGTCTTGTTAACACTGCTCTCGTTCACGATCTGCTGTCATTTACCATCTGCTGTCCATTCTCCATAATCGCTGTCAGTGGGTTCCATCCATAGGGAAGGTTCGTATCCCAGGAGTGGGAACATAATAGGCTGGTAATGATGATGTTTATTACTGTCACAAATTATTATACAATAAATATGAATGTTTGTTGACGTGTTTTATCTAAATCGTGTGAAGAAAACAGTTTTGATGGAGGTCAAAGTTAATTATTAGGACTTAGGTTTGAGACAGTCAAATCTAACTTTAATTTGGGTTTGTTTAAACGTTATTTCGTAGACACATCTAATTAATGGTTTTTTTTTAACGTTATTTCGTAGACACATCTAATTAAGGAAACATAATTATGCCAACTTCTGTAGTTAATAACAATCTGTTAATAAGTTTACTTCTGTAATTAAATAAAGAATTCAAAACGTAGTTTGACAGTATAAAAAGTTTATTAAGTCTAGTTTGTTCAGCATAATTGCCATTTATTATAATTATTCATTGTTGCCATGACAAAAGATTTTAAAAAGCATTTATTCAATATTAAGCAATAATCTCGGCAATATTTCATTTGCTTATTTTCGTTATATTGTAATTTTAAGGATAAAAAGGAAAGATTTGATTATTTTTTTATTTACATAGAATACGCTCCGAAACTATTGGACTGATTTACACAAATTCCCTCACCTACGGAAAGCTAGATCATATGAAGTGAGCATCATCATCAGCCCTTTTTACGTCCCCACTGCAGGGGCCTTCCTTATGGATGGTTAAGGAGGATGAGCTGCTCCACGCTGGCCCAATGTGGATAAGAAGGTTTTAACGATTGTAAATGCAGCAGGGACCAACAGCTTAACGTGCCTTCCGTAGCACGGAGTAGCTAGAGATAATAATTTTTTGGTCACCCATCCCGTGTCCGACCCTTGCGAAAGTTGCTTAATCGCGGGTCGCGGCGAGTGATCATAAGTTATATTTTATTCCGAAAAACAGTAAATAAAAGCATACTGTTGAAACCTTATCTGAATGAATGAATGAATTAAATTTTAAGTCTGGGTTAACATAAGGTCTACTTTTTATCCAGCTAAACAGTTCCATAGAGACCATGCGGGCGAAACCGCTGGCAGAAAGCTGGTGTTTTATAAAAACGGATATATTCGTACTTAAGTATCCAATAAATATTGATAGTGTATTTTTTTTATATTGTAGGTCATAAGGACTTCTTCCCAACTGGTGGGCTGACACAACCTGGTTGTTTCTTATCAACATGTGATCACACAAGAGCTTGGCAGCTTTTTGCAGAATCCATTACCGCACCGAACATTTTCCCAGGTAAATTTAAAATATATTTATCACGTCGAACCAAAAATGAAGTGTATTATATTATAAGTTAATATAGAGGTAATGTATGTGAGCTTACTATACTCTACTATGACTTTTGAAAGACTCAACGGATATTAATCAATAGGGTTTTATTGGAAAGTCTCGGAATTTTCCAAAATTTCATTTCTGAAGAAACAGAATAGGCCCTCCGAATTGTTATTGACTTCATATATTCCATTGTTTCTAACAAATTGATTTACTTATACCAGAGATTGATGCCATAACAAAAATATACTATCTTCTTTTTCAAATTCTAATTTGTTTAAATAAAACTAACTATTCTAATCATCTCGAACTCCTACGTGCTTGGGCACGTTAAGCCGTTGAACCCAGCTGCATCTGCAGTCTGCTGCAATCCACACTGGGCCTGTGTGGAGGGTCATTCTCTCTATTCGATTCCATTAATAGGGAAGGCCTAACCCCAGAACTGGGGACCTTAATAGGCTGGTGATAATGACAATAAGAATTTAATGATAACAGTTAGATATTTGTAAGCGGATCAACATTCATTTATAAAATTTATTTCGTGTGGGATTAACGTAGAAAAGTTTAATAGCTCATAAGCACATACAGAGCAAGAAGTAAGAAGAAGAACTTGTCTGTGAACACGTAGCTTTTGCATTGCAGTGTGTTGCAGTACACAACTGCGCACGGTCACGTCATAAGCGTATATCGATGAGATTCGATATGATTACAATTAAATTTGATGTATGATATAAGTATTGCATTATTTTTACGTCTTAGGGTTCGGGATAAAAAATAACGCCAATTAATTCACATTCCGATTTTGTTTAACACAATTACAAAAATAATTCATCTACAAAATTCAGACTTAGATTATTCACCGCTCTAGTTATCGCCTCTGCTTTCAGGTCACTTGTTCATTGTACAATGCCGGGATGGGTAGTCGACCGTGCAACCGCAATCTAGAACATTCTAGGCGATTCCTCGACCCTACCGACGTATCGAGTCGTTACCAAAAAGTTATAGAACAGCTACCCGTTTCTTTTCTCCCAGTCTCCCCTTTCTATTCAACCCGATGTATACCTATATAACACAGTTAGTTTCAATAGTGTAAGCGCGATTCATTAGCGCATAACACTATCTAATAACGCGTAGACAAACCGCGAAGCTGCCCTCCGTAATAATATCATAAAACTTGCAAATATCTACCGTATGTGCAGCTCTTAGTCAAACTGTTGAGGTTTAAAGGTGCAAAGCTGTATAATAACCTATATATTATTATTCAATCACTATATAGTATAAAACAAAGTCGCTTTCTCTGTGCCTATGTCCGTATGTAGGTATGCTTAAATCTTTAAAACTACGCAACGGATTTTGATGCGTTTTTTCATAGATAGGGCGATTCAAAAGGAAGGTTTTGTGTATAATACAATACCACGCGGGCGAAGCCGGGAAGCTAGTAATATATAAATAAATAAAAAAGTTTTATAAACTTATAAGTCTAGTACATATTTGTTCAGAACATTTCTGTTTATGCTCCTTGTAACACTGGCAACACTGTATGCCAAGTAAAAAGTAGCAAGTGTAGATCGTAATATTGCTTTTTTATGCACCCACAGCTTCAAGAAGTTGATTAAGGTTGTGAATGTGTTCACCCTTTTTTAAAATTTATATCGTTTGTAGCGTCTGCACATAATTGTAGTTCCTCGAACATACACCATGGAATATTTAAGAAAATAAAAAAGGAAAGTTAAAAAGAATAGAATTAAAGTAGTTTCACTACATCTATATATAAAAATGAATCGTAAAAATATATGTACGCGCATAACTTCTAAACGATTGCACCAAATTAAATGATTCTTTTTTTTTATGTCTTCCTTATTGTAAAAAAAGGATATAACTAATTTAAAAAAAAGATATAATTTATAAAAGACATGGCGGTACGAAGTTCGCCGATTCAACTAGTCTTTTAACAAATTGTTATAATTACGGTGTGAAAAATTAGTATCTTACTAATAATTTTTAGTAATGTACAAATTATTATAATAATATAATAATAATAGTAAAAACATTGTCACATATTTAAGTTAATGCGAAGGCAATTATCGTCAATGACTTCATCTAATCGAAGTTTAAATATTTAAACTAATCTCGTTTATATACTTGAACTTAGATATTCCGTTAACGTTCAATGGGTAACAGCATTCACTTTTCGCGAATAATTGGAAATAATACACGAGGGCATGCAAATTTGACATCGATAGCGATCTTAACGCTTGGCGAGCTCTCAAATTTTATGGCTATGAAACTAGCGAATATCGGTAACAAAAAACCATACATTTGCTTGTGGAGTGTTGCAATAGTCGATAAAGCGAGCTTACCACCGCGCGACTGATATCGCATCTTTTTAAATTTGTATCTTTTATTTGTTCTTCTTCTAAATTATTCTGATTCTAAAAAGTTTAAGGTAAAAAAAACAAGTAAGCAAAATTTCGGAACTAGCACAAGTTTGTATTTGCGCGCTTACAGATGAAAAGGTTTATCCCGAGCTCTAAATATGATATAAACGTGTTTATGTATTTTTTGTATTCATTCTTGAGGCTCCGTGAGTACTCAGGGGAAATGAAATTTAGTTATTCAAGCCTCATATACATGGAGTATTATGTAAATATGTATGTACGTATCAACGACTATTCTCAAGCTGAAAATTTGACTGTTTAGATGATCGCAATTTTATTATGATAAGCTGATACTGCGTCGTATTTTATAGGTGTTTATTGTGCATAATTTTGGCGGTATTAATTATATACTAGCTATATATATATATATATATATATATATATATATATATATATATATATATATCTGTTTTCCCGCGTAAATTACATCGAAACTTCCTGTAAATGATTTTTTTTTAAATAGGTCCAGTAATTTCGAAACCTATTATGCAAACAAACAAACAATTGATAATATAGTAAAGACTATTATAATTATGTTAGAGTATCTGTGGTTTTGTAATAATTATCCCACCAAAAACAATTTTAATGTAAAATGTTGCCAAGACAACTTCAATCGCGCACTGTCAAATAGTCATCAGATATCATGTAGAGCAAGCTTCTTAATTTACGCGCTCTAACTTCACAAACTCTATCTATTCTTAAGTCAAAATTTGTGGCTTGACTATTTCAGTACCGTAACGTAGCTAAATAATAATGATAGATAAAAAAATGTTCACTGCTCATTACTTCTCTGTTATACTTTTGTGGGATGAATGATTTATGTATAAGACTAAATGACAAGTGTTATTTCAGTTACTTATTGTAAATTAATTAATTTGTTTATTTCTACAGCACGTAAATGCGGTAACTGGACTTTGTTCCGGAATGGTCTGTGCTCAAATAATGAGGTGGCCTATATGGGTATGAACTCCAGGCAGGGCAGCCGAGGGACCTATTACCTGAACACTGGACCAAAACCTCCATATGGATTAGGACCAGCTGGCAGTGGAAAATAAAATATATTTGTTGGAATTAAAATTTATTTTATTTATTCATTTTACAATATTTATAGTCCGAAAGGCAAAATAAGTCCAAAAATGGTGGGACCAAATATCCAAAATGGAATACTAGTCAGCGCAGTACTAGCAATCGATCGCAATAGACGGAGGTCTGCAGTTGATAGCCTAAGTAGAAAATTGAGTCACAACCCTCAGCGCCATGAGGGAGTGATTTTAGAGAAAGATAATTACCTCAAATGTTTACACTTCTCATAGCGTACTAATGCTCTCACTGATAGGGCACCGGCATTATATGGAGGACTGGTGAGCGTAAACGACTACAAACGCAGCCGCAGCCGCAGCCGGCAAAATCGATGGTACCAACGATGACTTTGTAAAGTCGATTATAAATAATTGAATGTAATACTCTTAATTATGGATAGTTGTATTTATATCAGCCATACACTACGCCTTTACTGTAAATTTTTGTGTTAATTTTAATAGTGTGATAAAATTTCTAGATTCAACTACACTTTCACAGTGTCCCGAATATACGTCTTCACGCCACCACGTCTCAAACAATAATTACCCTAAAACTAGCAACTACCTTACAGTAAGACTAGTCACATCATTATTTCTTATTATGCCAACACAATATCCGTTTCCGGACGAGTGACATTATTTTATTTTTTAGATGTTCTGTGAATAGTATTTTAGAATATTACAAATCTATTTTATCGACAAGTAACGTCTCATAAAAATACATGTTGTAAGATAATAAATATCTTTTAATTAAATTTCAATTCTTTACAAATGACAACAATAGGCTATTCTTAATTGGAACTTAATATAAATATTTACTGCTCGATCTATGGGTGAAGAATTAAGTTTTATAATATTGATTATTGAGGGGGGTAGGGAAGGTTAGCTGCCTCCTGGCTTTTGATTGGCTTCTTACTATTCTTCTAAAATTTACCGGCCAAGAACTCTGATGTGCCCATAGTGCTAAGTACTTTGACTGCCCCCTCCCCTGGCTCAGAACCTCAATATACCCGTGAATAAAGTACATGTGGCAATTAAACCCGCGTTGTAATATGGCCAGTCGTTGAAATATCGTGCTAATACACTTCAATTTCTGTTGGAACTTTACTTGCACATCCAACGTCGTATCTATCGGTGTTAACGAAATTTCATCTGTGGGCCTTCTTACAACGCGGCTCTTAATTGCCGCAGGTACCTTACATGTTTCAATAGATCTCGGGCGATTTCTGGATCGTTCAAAGACCTATTACATTTTACGCGCCATTGTTCCGTAAGTTATCGTTTTACTGGTCGTTTATACATTCCGCAGCACCGCCAATCCACTAAATTTTGAGAATACATTTCGAACTTAACTATCAACGGATTAAGGTATACATTGGAAATGTTATACGATTTATTATTATTACTATTGAATTTTTATACGGTCCAATGAATATTCAGGAAACCGTCTGATATTAAGGTAATATTATGCGTTAATCAAATATTTGACGTACAAAATATACAGATATTATATTCTTTGAAGTTATGACGATAAGACATAAGCCTCTTATGACGGTCCGATAAAAACGGGCACTGTATATACGAGTACAAATAGGTATATAAGAATAACGTTATTCCATTTCAAGGATACTATACTTATATTGAGTCTTATAAAATACCAACAGTGAATATTTTGTATGTACCTTAAGAGTTGAATTTGACTAGTTTATAGTTATTCTATTTAATCAATTTTGCATTTACAATGCTACACTAAAAATAATGAGCTACTCAGAATCAAAAGCACTGACGAATTTTTCAAGTACTTGTTAGTTTTTCGCTAGTACAAAGAGTACTTTTGTTTTTATATTCTATTATGTACTACATATGTACACCAATACAAACTATACTAATACAACACATAAATCAATAATCAACTACTTTTCTTAGAATCTATACTATGAAACATTGTTCATATAAGTTTATAGTGCGAAAGCGCTTTCCGCCAATTATCAACTTCTCGAGTCATTGTCTGTTTTTCGCCTGCGCCTTTTTTTAAATTTGTCATCTCATAAATTTTATACAATCGACAAGTAGATACTAATTTTTTATATACTTAAGTATTCCTTTTTAAAATTATAGATACTAATATTATTTCTACTAAGTCGTTCCATTCTAGGCAAAGTGGTAGTGGTCGTCTATCAGTATTTAATAGACTGCATTTTAGTGAGTATGTAAAGTACATGATTTGATTCCACCAGCCATTTTCCGTCATTGGAGAACGAGATGCAGGTTGGCACACATTGTCGACATCCCTGCTCGCACTAGACGGTTTGCCAGTTCCTTTCTTTTTCGAACAGCAATGAAATGCATTCAGTCATGTATTCGCCAGTAAGTATAAACTGGCATATTTAAAGCTAGAGTGAATAAGTACTTCCTGGTTAGGCATATATGCCTATAGTATAGTACTTCCTGGTTAGGCATATATTATCAACCTAAGCCTATAGGCCAAATTTCAACCCAGTCTAGGAATAAAAAAATAAAAGATGAAATTTCTAACTTGGTTTATTTGTTGGCAGTAGTGTTGAGAAATACTAATCAGATCATTAAAATTCTTTCACTTACGGAAAGCTACATCATACGCGGTTGCTACTGGTAAAAATAAATGCGAGCGAAGTCGCGGTAAAACAGCTGGTGCAGTGTAAAGAACGTTGTACTAGTTGTTTTGCTACGACACAAAAATTATATCATAAAAAAATCACTTATTCTAAATAAGGCCACACTATATTTCTTCTATAATACCATCTTTCACAGAACATTATAAAAGACGCAATAACATATGTGCTGGCTAGATATAAAAGGGGAGTGTAGATCTGTGATAGCTCAACTACTCTATGTCCCAAGTTGTTGCAGTCCAAGCGTTGGTATGTGTCGAAGGAAGTCAGACGATGAAGAACACCAGCTTCTTTAGCCCGCAAGGTGCTGGAAATAAAGAAAAATTATCACTATATGATAGCAAAAGTATATATATAAATGTAAAACAAGAATCCATAGGAAGATACGACGGCTTACTAATTGTCTTATTTAAAAATCTGTCACATCTCTTTCAATTTGGCATTTGAAAGATATTCACAAACTTCACGTAACAACTCTTTGACATGTGATAGCGTTTGTGATTGCGACAGAACGATATCGTTAATTAAACATTAATTGGATCTGTCTAAGGCAAGCGTTAAACGCAAATCCAGGGCTTGGAAACCGGTTAATTTTTTGAACCGGTTCGACGTAAGTACATGCGAAACTTTACATAAAAGGTTCAGCTCCTTTGAACAGGTTTTTGAACCGGTTCACTAGAAATACGATTTTCTTTATTAACCGGTTTAAATATGATCCAAACAATGATCTCACAAACTTCAGCGCGGTTTTTAAGTGCTTTTACTGCTATCTATAACATCCGTACACAGGTATGATAAATGTCGTCGCTTAAAAATGATATAATTCGCATTAAAAGCGTAAGATCATTGCTTTTAATGAACAAAGCGAATTAACCGGTTTTTATTCCATCCGAATTTCACTCCGCATTTAGTTCCGATCCGGAACGGAAAATTATAAAAGAACAGATTTTACCTAAATAAAAACGATTTCTTTGAAAGCTATTGAGCAATGTCAAATGAAACGCTATTATCAATCTTTAGGCCGGTTTTGGCAAGTTTTTATTACTTGATCATTCGAATCATCATTCGTTCTTTAAGCTCTACCGACTTTAAAAATAGCTTAGTTATCGCAATCGCTACACCTTTAGAAGGAATTGTGGTAGATTTTAAAAATAGACTATTAGGCAAGGATATTACAATAAAAGTGGGTAGATAATATACTTCCATTCAATAAGTGTCACCTTGAAACTATGCTTATTAGCATACCTGAGCGCAGTCTGGAGAAAGCATATATAGTCGACCAAACTAATGTCGTCTTGTTAATATATAAAGTAGTTTAATCACTACTTAAAAAATTAACCTAGTTACTTACATTTAAAAATATATTTAATCAATATTAGTTCACATGTTTATTAATTTATACATATGGCAGATTATCCGCTCGTCTTAAAACTGCTAGTGCTGCAAAGAGCGAAAAGCTAGCAATCTACACGAGCTAACAAACAAAAAGAGTGAACTAGTTTATTTAAGAGCCGCGAACTAACTCGTTCGATCTCAGTTGCGAACTATTACGCCCAAGTCTACGTAATGGAGATCCTAATAAAATGAAAACAATGAATGATCATTCTTATATAAAATGTATTTCTGTGGAATGATCACTTACCCAATGATTAATTGCTCTCTGAAGCGAAAATTTTTCGAGGCAAATAAATATTTTCTGACTTCCGGCACCAAATCTATTTCGTTCAGTTGACACAGCTCATCATTGCTAAAAGCTAAAAGAGTATTTTGTCGGGATAACTGTTAATGGAAGCTCACAACTTTTATTTTCAATTTTAAATAGCACCCGCGTATGATCTTGCATCACGTAGGTGAAAGTATTTATTTCAAAATGTTTTCAGAATACTCTTGTGTTTTATATTTGTTTGCTCAGAAATATAAAAAAATACATTATCGAATACTATTTGATGAGAAAATCTTTTTAATTAAATCGGCTAGTATCGTTATATTGATAAAAGGCTATAAGAAACTCGGCAAGAGTCGCTTTTCACTGTTTTATTTTAAACACAGTTCTGCTGAAGGTGCTAGTCCACCACCTCAGCACGCACGCACCCGCCGCGCGATACGCAACGCATTGCAATTTTTCAATATCATACTGCCACTGCAATCGCATTTTCATAGTCGAAATTATGAAGACAATCCGTTGCATGTCGTGCGGCCGGTACGTAAGTAACAAGTGGACGTTCACCTTAAAAAGAACTTCATTAGATTATGGTGTCGCAACATCTTTACTAGTTACTCAATTTGTTATTTAAAATTAACATAGTGTGTCATACACACCCTTGT